GAGCACATGAGAGGGGGGAGGGTCAGAGGGAGAAGCAGACTCCCTGCCGAGCAGGGAGCCCGATGCGGGACTCGATGCGGGACTCGATGTGGGACTCGATGCGGGACTCGATCCAGGGACTCCAGGATCATGACCTGAGCCGAAGGCAGTCGCTTAACCAACTGAGCCACCCAGGCGCCCTACCCTCTGGCTCTCTACAGAAAATGTTTGCCAACCTCTAATCCTATAGGTTTCTCCTCCACCTCTTTTCTTCCTCATAACTTTTTAATTGAAGAAACAGGGACCCTGGCTCGGGCAGCACACATACTAAAGTTGGAATGATACAGAAACAATTAGCATGGCCTCTGCGCAAGAATGACACGCAAATTTGTGAAGCGGTCCATATTTAAAGAAAAAAAAAAGAACCAGGGTTATTGGTCTTGTAAAGTCTCCCGACAGTCTGAATTTTGCTGCTGTTGTTCAACATGATCATTCATGCCCTACAGTCCTACACGCGGGAACCCAAGTACAGAGACTCGATCAAATCAGATTGGGCGACTTTTTCTTCAGGAGGATTCCATTAGTGGTGATGTGTTCTTCCATCAGGAAGTAAATATGTCCGTTTCTGTTTCTTTCTGCGGTGTCACCAACATTGATGACTAGGGCTAAACTGTATTGGGTTTGGGTAACCGAAAATGATTGGAAAATGCCAGGAACCCAGCAGGAAAGAGAGAGTCAACCTACATGGTCAAGAGCTGGGGTGGGAGGGGGCGGGGGAATCAAGCTACGTCAAGTTTTTGGTTGAGATTCTTCCATAAACTTATGTTCCATGGGGAGGGAAGAAGGTTCCTGGGATAAACATCAAAGGAATGAGAAGTGTTGTGTTAGTCTCCTGAGGTTATGGGTGATGCCTGCTCTTCCCCCATTTTACAGTATTTCCGTCCAGATGGTTCAATCTCTGTGGGGCGGGGGTGGGGGGGGGACATAAATAAAAAGCCGCTGGCTTTGTCCTATGGGTTTTCCCCTCCAAGTGTATGTCGTCTCTCTCCAATGAGACTGGAAGCTCCTTGAGAGCAAGAGTGATTGCCCCTCCCCGTAATGACCACAGCGCACAAAAACTCCCTCACAGGGCAGAAGAGCACCCGAATAAGTTGAAACTGTCTTCTCCAGAGTGTATTAACATGCTTTCCGGCAATAACACCCTCATTCCTTCAACAGATGCTGATTGAAAGACAATTATAAGAGAAGATTGTAAATAATTATATGCCAACAAATTGGGCAATCTGGAAGACAGTGATAAATTCCTAGAAACATACAAATTAACAAATACTGACTGAACATCCCCTGTCCATGTCAATTCCTGCACCCTCGCCCTCCTCCAAAATGGTCCTGACTGGAATTAGCCAGCTCCCCCCTCCTCCAGATTATACCCGCAGCTTCTCTGTTTTTCCGTTAGTGCCCCAGACTCTTCCCAATCCTTTGGTTCAAGATGCTGGAGGCTTTTTTCTTTTCTTTTTTTGGCCCCTTTTCCTCATCTTTTTTATCCAGCCAGATGTGCAGTTCTGTTGATCCTTCCTGTCCAGGATTTCTGCTCATTATCCTACCCTCTGCTCCAAGATGGTGCAAAACTGGTCCCAAGAGAAAGAGGATCCATGAGACTCTGCAGTGACCTAGAAGGGAACCAGAGAGAAGAAGGGGGTGAGATGTAGACCAAAGTAGGTGAATCTGGGCATTAGTCTCTCCCTAGGCCCAGAGTTACACCATTCAGGAGCAGGGATAGGGAAAGGAGTGCTGGATCAAAGAATGGGGGAGAGTGGGGCACCCTGACATCCCCTACCACAGTTTATGATTCCCCGGCTACTAATCAGTTACTCAGAGATAAATAGCTAAATTTGCCTCAGTGATGATCTTCGGCCCGTGGGAAGAGTACGTGCTTAGTGTGGGCTTGGGCCAGGACTCCACTCCTCTGGGGGGAGACAGAAGGAGCTGGTGGCCGGATGGGAGCCAGAAACCACAGCTCCTTACAGTCATTCATTCTTTAAATACATTTTGAGCACTTGCTCGGTATCAGGCATTGCTTGGTGCTGAGGGTGTAAGTATAAATTTGCCCTCATGGACTTTATAGTCAGGAAGTAGGGGGAGGGGGAGACAAACATTAGACAATTCCTCAATATATAATGACCAGTTATGATAAGCGCTCAGAGGGACAAGCCCAGGTCTAGGGAGCTGGGATGGGGTGGGGGCACCATCCTGGGGCAGGGGGATGCCCCCCTCCTGTCAGTATCAGGGTCATCATCAGCCCTTTCCCCTTTCCCACATGTTCCCCTCCCTCTGGCTCAAGAAGAGGGATTTGCCCTCTCCCACCCCTGGACGGACCAGCAGACACTAAGGCCCTCTCTTCTTCTGCAGCCTCCCATATTCTACAAGCCCAACCAGGTCCCTCCCAGCTGTCAAAACCCAGGGAAAGGAGAAATGAAATGCATCACCTTCTTCCTTCTGCTGCCTCCACTGTGGGCCCTCGGCAGCCCCCACTCCTGACCCCTGCAACGGTCTTGGGGTTCCAGGGTGAGACCAGTTATAGCTATTCCTCTGAATTGTGCTCTGCCCCCCAAAATCAGATGTGGAAATCCTCACCCCCAGTAACTAGAATGAGATTGTATTTGGACATAAAGCCTTTTTTAAAAGGGTAATTTAGGTAAAATGAGTTCACAAGGGTTGAATTCCTGATGACTGGTCCACTTAAAAGAGATTAGGACACAAACACACAGATCAAGAGGCAACCCTCTGCAAGCCTCAGGGAAAAAAAAAAAATCCTTGCAGACACCTTGATCTTGGGCTTCTAGCTTCCAGAACCATGAGAAAATGAACATCTGTGTTTAAGCAGCCCAGTCTGTGCTATTTTGCTATGCCACCCTCCTTCCTCGATTCAGAGCGGGGGACTGAGGCCGGGTTGGGGAGTAGGGGAGAGCACATTTGCCTCAGGCCAAAAGATGGGCGCCGTGAGCCTGGGACCAGGACCCAGGCCTGCCTCCCAGGGGCAGGGCCCCCTGCCCTGCCCAAAGGAATTCTCCACCTTGGTTTCTCTTCCACATTGTGTATCTAGATTATTCTGTCTGAACACACTTCTGATCGAATTTCCCCACACGAAGAACCTGCCACAGCCCAGCTCCTCCTACCCAGCAAGATCTGAGCAAACTTCCTGGCTCTGCACCCCAAGCCCTGCCAGTTAAGGTCTAGTCAGTGAGGTGCTTCTCAAACATCCACATGCATCAGAATCACCTGGGGAGTATGCAAAAATGCAGATTCCTGGACCCGGCCACCAGAGAGATTCCTCTTCAGTAGGAGGGGGAAGGGGATGGGGGCGGCAGAAGGACGTATTTCTAACAAGCTTCCAGACCACGCGGATGCCACACTAGAGATGCTCCGGCTCAGCTGCCTTTCCCCAGAGCCGCCCCTGCACCTGCCCCGCGGTCAGAGCAGCCTCACTCTTCCCTCAGCTCCCCAGGCCCTGGAGCCTTTGTCCAGCCTGGCGTGCTGCCAGGATCTCCCTGCCGCCAAGTCCGACAGGGTGCTCAGATCCTGGGACCTCCCAAATCAGGATAAAGCTGAAGGGTTGTGCTGCCTTCTAAAAGGAAGGCTTTATTGGAATTTGAACCAGGACTGGAGCAACTCTAGTCCAAAGAATCCTGGGGGATCGTGATTAAAAGGCAGATACCTGGGCCCACCCCCAGACACAGGCCTCCCGTGGAGACACTCTTCTGGAGTCACCCTCTCAATACACAGACGAGCAAAGGGAGTCACAGAGAGGGCAACTGACTTGGCCCAGGGCACACAGCACGTTAGCGCAGAAGCTGAGCAAGAAGCCAGGCCTCCTTCGGTGTGGAGCGTACCGCCCACTGCACCTCGCTGCTTCTTCTGAGCCTCCAGGGGGCGCTCCTCTCCTCCAGCCCATTTCCCACCATCCTCCACCTTCTTTCTGGTGACCGCAGCTGGGCCCTGGCATTTGGAGCTAAAGCTGAAATGGAGCCCCAGGGGACTATAAATCATGCAAAAGGGAGAAAAGTGGGGGAACGGGCAGGGAAACGAGGGGAAGAGATGAAAACCTCTGGGGGTCGGGGAGGGGAGTCTGGCGTGAGAAGCCACTCAGCGATGTCCACGGAGCTGGGGCGGGGCTTCTCCTGGGACCTGCCCACATGTGCCACCGCCCCAGCCTCTGACTGGGGAGGGCTCCAGTGGGAGCCCGGGAAACCACAAACCCTCTGCCCTCTCTCTCTCTGCAACAGCTCGGTGCTTCAGATCCCAGTGCAGGTGGGGGCAGGGCGCTGGTTAGCTAGGTGCTTAGTTCAGGCTTCTTGCTCCTGGACTCGGATTTCTGCCGACAGCCCCAATCCAGCTGGTAGGACTGGATCTGGGGTGTGGACCAGGGGTGGACCGCTGCCCAGACCTCCCTCTCGGGCCTGCTGCAAGGGGTACGGGGACCCTGCTGGGCGCAGGTGAGGCTAACAGCTGGGGGAGCTGCCCTGGCACCTCAGTTCCTGGCTGGGAAAGGCAAGTCCGACCAGTGGGGGCAGGGCCAGGGCTCCTGGAATCTGGATCTGCATGCTGAGTTGGAGGCACTCCACCCCCATGTCACCTGGAGAAAAACTGGACCCACTTCCTGACCCCTTCATCCTGCAGCCGCCAGTCTTCCACCCGGTGAGCAGCCACTCTGGTCTGGAATCTCCAGGTCTCAGGCCCCCCACCCCCCGACTCCAGCTGGACCCAGGCTCCCAGGTGGTGGGTGGAGAGGCCTTTGGTCTTGGGCCCTGTTCCCCCAGCACCTGCTCATGAACTCTGGAAGGCCCTCCTGAACTTAGCAAAGTGGCTGACCAGCTAATTCCCACTTGGATGAGAATGATGGGGTCCACAGGGTCCTTACATTTTAAAAGTAATAGAACCTGAAGTCAGTGCTGTGCTCCTACTGTGTGATGGGGAGCTAGGCTAGGAGGACCTGGGGCTGCTGAGTAGTATTGTTGTGGGGGCACTGAGTACCTAGGGTAGACTCATCCCCAGCCTGGAAGAGAGTCAGGTTGTACCTCCAACTCGGGAATGGGTGTTCCCCTCACGTCCTCCTCCTGCTCAGTGCTCACGTGGATTTTCTGAAGTCTGGCCTTGCTTTACAGGAGGCTGAATGCGCAGGACACTCTGCCCTCCCATTAATGAATGCTAACTATCGCTTTCTCTTGACTTGGCCCCCTCCCCCTGGGAGAGGTGCATCAGCTCAGTAATTATTACAGGCCAGGCCTGGAGCCTGGGAAGTGGGAGGGACTGAGGTGCTCAGTCTGGCTAAGCTGTGGGCCCTCTGACAGCCGGGAGCTCCAGTACCTCCCCGGGGGCCTGAGTAATGGGGTGAAGCAGCTGCCCAGGTTACAACCCCTCCTTGCTTTGCAGGCTGCCGAGCTCCCACCTGGAGGGCAGCACTGTTGGGGCTCAGCATCTTCTAGATGGTTCGGAGAATATGTGAAAGCCAGTCTTGTGTTATGCCGACATGTACCTGGGACATGTTCACGTTCGTTCTGCAAACACCTTTTCAGAGCCCACGCTGTGCCAGGCCAGACGCTGAGCCCAGAAGGGAAAGACAGGGCTTCAGCTCCGAGTGGCCTGAGCCTCCACGGAAGTAGCCAGCCCCGTGGTCTCCCTGTAAGCCCGCCAACGGCCAAGCTAGCCATACGAGTGAAGTGTTCTGGGAACACAGGGGAGAGAAGGAAAAACTCAGTCACCATAGTGGACAGTGCTTGGAGAAGGTGTCAGAGAACCCTGAAAGTCAACTTGGATCTCACAGGGCCAAGGGAGAGCAGAGGAAGCGGCCCCGAAAGGCAGGGAGTTGTAAACGTGTGTGTTGTGTGTTAGGAATTCTGCATAGCTTCTAAGTGGGGAAAGGTGAGCCTGGGCAGGTAAGCCGGGCCATTGTTGGGTCTCTCTCCAGGCATCCTTGTCCAGCCTTTCTGCCCGCCCCCCAGTTCCTGGGCTCGAGCCAGTAAACAGTCCTCAGGATCTCGATACCAGACTTCTGGAGGCCAGGGCAAAGTCTCACTGAGGACACTCCTGTGCTCAAGGAGCTGGGGAGAGGGGCAGGGCTGGTGCTGCAAGGGGGCGATGGAGCTGAACTTGGCTTCTCCAGGGCAATGTGGCTTTGACATGTGAGGGTCCCGGAAAGGTGAGAAGGTGGAAGAGAACACTAATTTTTCCCCCATAAGGACGTTTTCTGTTTGGGGCAGGAGAGTGGAATTTTCTTGTTCTTCTCTCCCCACCCACCCACCTGACACGGGGCTCCCTTGTAAGACCCATTCTCCAGCTCCATGTGGCTAGCTTTCTCCCCTTGTTCAGGTGCTTCCTTATGTCACGACAATTTTCGGTGGCCTGCGTGCAGGCAAGATGGTCATGCTACAGGGAGCGGTCCCTCTAGAGGCACGCAGGTAAGGGGGTGCTCCACGGGGCTTCTGGGGCTCAGCCCCAGAGGCATCGAGCTGGAGGCTCCTCTCTGCCCTCGGGGTCTCGGGGTTTCCGACCAGGGGTGCCCCTTCGAGAGCACCTCTCACCAGGTTCCAGGTGGACTTTCAGTGCGGCTGCAGCCTGCATCCCCGGCCGGATATCGCCATCCACTTCAACCCTCGCTTCCACACCACCAAGCCCCACGTCATCTGCAACACCCTGCACTTGGAGCGCTGGCAAGCCGAGGCCCGGTGGCCCCACCTGCCCCTGCAGAGAGGAGCCTACTTCCTCATCCTCTTTCTCTTTGGAAATGAGGAAATGAAGGTGAGGGGAAGGGATGGGCAGCAGCGTCTAGAACCTGCATCCTTCCCCTCTTCCTTCCTTCCACCGAGTTCCCCACGTCACTGTGAGGAGGGGCGTCACTGGGAGGACTTGAGACCCGAGAGGACCGAGCAGCTGCCGAGCCCCGTTCCAAGCTGCCCTGGGCCCACATGGCCTGGGACCCATGGCGGCAAGAAAGCTCCCTCGTGCCTGGCCCTGGGGAGGGCACCACTGCCACATTGCTAGCAAGCTCTTCAAGAGCGCCTGCAATACGATGGGCTCTTTTCTAGCCCCTAAGTGCCCGCTCGTTAGATCCTCCTGAGGTGGGTACTCACATCCTCCCCATCTCAGGGTGGTGGAGGGCGCAGGGACCCCGAACCCCATTTCAAGGCTTTCTCCACAGATGGGAACTCCTGCCAGAAAGATGCCAGGACCCTGACCTCTCCGGGGGAAAGGGGAGCCAATGGGAACCAGCAGTGGAGGGAGGGCCCTGTGGTGGAGGAGTAGTCCGGCCTCCTGAAACCCCATTTCTTCACCTGGGGCTGGGGCTGCTGAGGGATGACGAAGGGAAGTGCTGTGTCAGGGGCAGAGGGCCAGTGAAAGGGGCCTTGGTTCCCAGGCCAGCTGTGCAAACTTGGGAAGGTCATGGAAGCTCCCTGCGCCGTGCGCACGTCATCTGTCAAACGTGCCCATCTCTCAGAGTGGGTGTGAAGGTAAACGAGGGACGTCCCGGGTAAGAGCACCCAGCGAGGCCAGGCACGTTAGTGCAGACTCAGCGCGCATCGGGTGCTGCTGAGCTGTCCGTCTGTCTATCTCTCCAGGTGAGTGTGAACGGACAACACTTTCTTCATTACTGCTACCGGCTCCCACTGTCCCGTGTGGACACCCTGGCCATATTTGGCGACATCCTGGTGGAGGCCGTTGGATTCCTGAACATCAACGTGAGTTCCCTGAGTGACAACGGCCCCTGACCTCCCCTGGTGTCTGGATGGGCCCAGGACCCCCCCTCCCCCACCCTCGCTTCCCCAGGCAGGCCCTGTCACACCTGTCATAACCAAGGTGGAAGGGATCCATCAGGTGTGGGATACCAGTGGGGTTGAGAAGGTGCCCCCAGAAGGGGACCCGAGAGCAATGGCCAGGAGGTGATCCACTTGGACCCTTGGAGCCATGGGACCCAAGGAGCAGCTAGCTCTGTCCTTCGCCCCTGAGGAGCTTATGAAAAATGTAGATTTCTAGGACCCGCCGCCAGACCTTCTGACTCAGTAAGTCTGAGGTGGGGCCTAGGAATCAGCATGTTCAAATGCCGGGTTTGAGAACCACCCACAAGGCCTACAGGGAGAATGAGGAGCTACCAAAGCCAACCTCTGCCCACCTCCTGGGCATAGGCAGGGTAGGCAGGAGCCCAGCAAATGACTCGCAGAGCCTGCAGGGGGCCTGAATCCCCCGTGTTGCCTCTTCTCTTTCCTGACAGCCATTTGCGGAGGGCAGCAGCGAGTATCCGGCTGGATACGTGAGTCTCTGGGGAGCAAGCTGGCCCTGGTGGTTCTGGCCACGCTAGCTGAGCCCCCGGTGCTCCCAGCTCCCCCAGCTTGACCTGCCACTCGCCGGGCTGCTGTCCAAGTTGACAAAAGCCAACTTCCCTCACTGTGCACTTGCCATGGATACTGGCCCCCCCACCCCCACCCCATGGCTGGCAAGGCGGATTCAGCTTTCCCAACCCCAGCGGGGGCCCGCTTGGGAAGATGGACTGGGTGGGTTGGTACCCAGCATGGGCAGAGCCCCAGGACTCCTATCAGAAGATCCCGCCAGGTTGGAGCCTTCTGTCCTCAGCAACCGGGCGAGGCAGCTGGGGTCGGCCTGTAGGACAGAGAGGGAGATGAGAACCGAGGCCACACAATAAGTGGATGACGGACCCTCTGTCCAGTTCTTCTCCATTCTTCCAGAGCTAGTGTCCGTCTGAATCCAAGAGGGCCCCCCCGGGGGCTCTAATCACTCACCTGTGTTGTCTTTGAGAGAGACAAACCCCAGATACCCCCAATTCTTCATAATAATACTGAGAAGCTCTTTCGCTGAGCGAACACCGCATGGCTTCCATGTCTCCTTTCTCTTTCTTTCTCCCCTCGACAGCCTTTCCTGCTGAAGAGCCCCAGCCTGGTGAGTGACCTCCCTCCTGGGTCACCTGGTGGAGGTGTCGTCCCCGGGGGGGCAACCCCACCTGGTGGGAAATGCCCTCAGCATCAAGGTTCCCCCTTCCCTTATAGAAACCTCCAGCTTCGTTTTACCTTTTCTCCATTTATTCTGCAAACAATTATTTGATACTCTTCTGTGCCAGGCCCAGTGCCAGCTCTAGGATAGAGGGACCAGCCAGCCCCAGCCCCCCAGTGGCTCGCAGGCTGGTGGGGAGACAGACCAGTGAACAGGCTGTTACAGTTCAGGATGCAGCAATGGGGGACATATCTGGTGCTCACGCCCCGGGAAGTGGGGGCGGCCACTGAGCTCAGCCCCGAAAGGCCAAGGAGAGCCGAGGCCTGCAGTAGATGTTTAATAAATGAGCAGACTGAGTGTCCTCCCGGCTGCAGGCCTAGAGGCGGACTTACCTCCCTCAGGGCTCCCCTTCTCAGTCATTTCCCATCTTCCTACAGGAGGTGCCCTGCTCGCGTGCCCTTCCCCGGGGTCTCTGGCCCGGACAGGTCATCGTACTGCGGGGGCTGGTCTTGCCGGAGCCAAAGGAGTAAGTATCCAGATGGAAGGGAGGGAGAAGCATCTCAGAGTGGAGCATGAGTTCTACAAGTACCCTCTCTTTCATCTCCAACACCACTGCCCCATCGTGGAGCTTGTGGTTGGGAGGGTGCTCACTGCCAGTCCCAACCACTGAGCACTGGACGGTGCTCGGTGCTCAGGCTCCCCCTGCGGCCCCAACAGCCCCAATTCTGGGAGTACCTTCCCTGCCTGTCCATCTGGTCAGGCCACCTAGCCTCTCATCACAGGTGCCGCTGGGGCCTCCAGAAAGGTCCTTTAAGGGCTCAGGCTGAGATCCAGAGAGAGAATTCGACCTCCCAGGGTGACAGAGGGCAGTGGTTTAGGAAACACGGCCAGGCAGCCCCAAAGAGGAGGCCCAGTGCTGGGCAGTGGGAGCTTGGAGCCGCACACCTACTACACGGAAGCTGCCTAACCTCTCCCACAGGGGGCTCTCCTGCTCCACTCCCCAAACCTGCGGGCTCCAAGCCACTTTCACTTTCTTTTTCCTTTTTTCCTCTCCTCCCCATCTTTCCTTCTTTCCCACCCCCTTTCCTTCTTGCTGGAATTGCGTTGGATTTCATGACTTTTCTGGGCCACATCGCCTGGGTTTGACTTCTGCTGAGGACACTTACTATCTGTGTGCCCCTTCAAGGCAGTCACTTTTCCTTCCTGTGCCTCAGTTTCCTCGGGTGTAAAAAGAGGTAATAATAGTGCCAGCTTCAGGGGTGGTGTGCATGCTTTGAATTGGGCCAGGCACGCAGTAAGCACTCTACAAATGTGGTGGTCATCAAAATGATCTCCGTGGAGGGGCAGAAGGGAAGGGAAGTGCGCTGTCTTCTCCGTTTCTGTTTCGGTTTTGTTTTCTGGAGTCCCTGACCTCACTAAACTCTTGCCCTTCATGCTCTTGAACAGGCCTGTGAATTCTGGAGCAGGTATGCAGCACGGCCCCACACAGCACGACCCTCAAACCAGGCACAACGGGGTTGGAGTCCTGCTTGTGCCTCTTATAAACTCTGTGGTCTTGGGGAAGTCACGACACCTCTCTGAGGCTGGAGTCCTGAGTTTCCCCATCAGAATAAAAGGAGAAAGGTCATCTCAATCCTAGAGGGAAAATGGAAAAGTTCCCAGGGGTAGAAAGAACACCCTCCCCCCCCCCAAAAAAAAAAAAACTTGGAGACACGATACCAGCTTCATGTCCTAGCTCAGTCAAATGGTTATTATTAGTGATGCAGCAAGTCACTGAACTGTTGTTTCTCGGGGGCCATGAATTCACTCACATGCCCCGAGGCTGGACAAGTGACATAAATAGTGAAGCCCCGGGCTGGGAAGGTAAAGTGGAAGAAGTATTTCCATAGAGGCACTCTATGCCAGACCTTCTGATTATTTTTTAAAAAGAAGCTGGAAGCCATCTTTCATATAAACTTTCCCAGTCTGGGCACATGGCATTACTTTGAAGTTGAAGAACACTGTGGGCCAGCCAGGACATTTCTACAGGCCACTTCCACCATGGGCTGCCAACATAAATGCTGTTCCTGTTGTTTTTCTGGAAGCGACTGTGGCTTGAATTGGACAGAGGGAGTCGGAGTTGGAGGGCACGGAATTGGACTGCATTAAAAATCTGTCCTTCCCTCTCCATCCCTCTCTGCAAGCACTGAGGAGGTGGGGATGCGGCTGCAGGTGCTACAGAGCTTCACTAGGCGTCTGGAGGGAGTCTGTTACCCGGCCCAGGGCTGTGCAGGACAGGGATTGGAGGGGGGGAGGGCACCCAGGCCTCCAGGAGTTCTCAGGCCAATGGGAAGGGCATGGGGAAAGGGCTTGGGGTTGGGGCTAGAGGCTCTGTGCGGTGCACTCTCCAGGGCCCCTGCCTTCGGAGCTTCTTCCCAGTGGTGAGCCCTTCCCAAAGGAGCTGGCTCCTTCCCAAAGCTGAAAATATCTGGGGCATCCTCCTAGAACAGTCAGCCATGTGACATCTTGTCCTCGTCACTTATATGGGCTGCTGAACCTCAAGGCACAGGATTTCTGTGAGGACTCCGTAAAACACGTACTGTGTGCCAGGCACTCGCTAGATTTCACAGACATCATCTCCTTTGTTCCCGTCAATGGGAGGTATTGTATTATAGAGTGATATTTGTTAAACAGTAGGTGTGATCTGAGTGCTAATTACATGCCCAGTGCCGTTCTAGCGCTTTACCCATGACAACTCGTAAGGCAGGTACAGTACTCTTCTCCCCACACTACAGATCAGGAAACTGAGGCACAGAGACGTGAAGTGACCTCCCCAAACTCACAGGACTAGAAAGCAGCAGAGCTGGGTTGAAGCCAGGTAGCCTGGCTCTAACCCGCACGTGATTTGCAAAACACTGAAGACGATACCTAGCATATAGCCCCCAATAAACGTCAGCTACTACTAATGTAATTCTCCCCATCTCGAGTCCCCGGCAAGGTCATTTGCTCCCCCAGGGTCCTCCAGCCTGCGGGTGGCAACGTGGGGATTCAGTCTCAGGTGTGCCTGAGACTCGCTCAGGTGTTCCCACCCCTCTGAGCTGCCGAACCTTCCAGCTGCTCTCCCACATCCATCCCTGCACGCAGGGTCCAGCAGCCGTGGCTCAGAGGAGTCAGGGGGCCCCTTCTCCCGCCCCTTCTCGCAGCTTCACACTGAGCCTGCGGGACGAGGCTGCCCACGTGCCTGTGACGCTCAGGGCTTCCTTCGCAGACCGGACTCTGGCCTGGATCTCGCCCTGGGGGGGCAAGAAGCTGATCTCGGCCCCCTTCCTCTTCTACCCGCAGCGATTCTTCGAGGTCAGTCAGAGCCACGTGGCCTGGTCCCTCTGGGGCGGGGCACAGGGCGGGGCACAGAGCTGCGCTCCGATGCGGAGACAGGGGTGCGTCCTGGGGGTGGGGAGGCAGAGGATGTGGGGCTGGGAAGCCAGGACCTGCCAGCAGGAGCAGACATCCACACCACGGCTCTCAACCCTCCGTGTGGCTGCCAGTGAGCCCACTCCCAAAACACGGATGTAATGAATCAGAGCAGACCCTGGTTATTTAAAAACAAAACAAAACAAAACCAAAACACCCCTCCCCCTCCCCCCCCATGACTCCAAAGTGCAACCAGGGTTGAGAACTGGTGCTCAGGGAATGCAATGGCACAGATGGTGAAACTGAGGCCCAGGGCTGGGATGACCCTTATGGAAGGTCACAGCGGGCTGGTGACAAGATGGGCGCCCAGTCCTGTTCTTTCCCACCACCGGGTGCCCCACGGTTCCGGTCTTTGTGACCCCTGAGTGGAGGGCTCGCTGGGTGGGGACGTCAGGCAGGCGGCGGAGGGTCCGTCTGTCCGGAAGCCTGCAGGCCCGGCCCGGCCTTTCCCAGGTGCTGCTCCTGTGCCAGGAGGGCGGGCTGAAGCTGGCGCTCAACGGGCTGGGCCTGGGAGCCACCAGCCTGCGCCAGCAGGCCCTGGAGCGGCTGCGGGAGCTCCGGATCAGTGGCAGCATCCAGCTCTACTGTGTCCACTACTGAGAAGTGAGCCGGCGACCCCGCCAGGGAAGGGAAGGGCCCGCCCATGGCCGGTGCCCCTCGGTGGGGCTCCACTCTCCTCCCTGCTTGAACCGCGTGCCGCCACCTGAGTCTGCAGGGCCTTCGGGCCCCACAGCAGAGGGAAGGCACCGGAGCGAGAAGGCTCCCCAAACTCCATGGCTCCCTCCACCAGGAGCCTGGGACTTGGCTCCCTCCTCCGGCAGGGCCCAGACAGGGGGCAGGTAGAGCAGCCTAACAAGGACACTCGAAGGTCCAGTGGCTGAGGGGTGCCTGGGGGGCTCCTTTGGTTAAGCATGCGACTCCTGATTTCAGCTCAGGTCAAGATCTCAAGGTCATGAAATGGAGCCCCGTGTCAGGCTCCATGCTCAGCAGGGAGTCTGCTTGAGGTTCTCTCTCTTCCTCTCCCTCTGCCCCCACCCAATGCTCTCTCTCAAATAAATAAATAAAATCTTTAAAAAAAAAAA